GGGGGGGGGGGGTGATCTACACCGTCTACTCGTCCCGGTGTCGCCAGAGGACGGACTCGACCACCCCGCGGACTACTACTGCCGCGGATCTAACCGGGATATATTCGCGGATGGTGCTTGATAACATCACCGGAGAGGCCGACATATTATATTATATTTTACCTCCTCGTTTGCGGCGGAGTCTTCACTCCGGCGCGAGGACACCCGAGGACACGCGACAAGGTAAACACAAAAACAACGCGCGCCGTACCGTAAATAAACGCGCGTTTTTATTGCGAATTTCAGCGAGCGCTGAAGGTGACGTCGTGTCGTCACCGGGATCCGGAGCCTTTTAGCGGCTCCCTTGTGACACAAACATGGCCTCGGACGCGTGGATCCAGGCGGCGGGCAGCGCGCGAGGGCTCCGAGCCCCCGGGGGGTCGGTTAGAAACACGGGTTCGATCCCAGTGTTACACGTTAAATGCGTTCGTGTTTTCACGCGGTTGCGTGGCAACATCGACACGCTGCACGCGCCACTATTTTGCATATATTTCACATATTGTTTCGCCTAAATAATAAAACGAGACTTTGTCCACCTGTCGCACCCGTGGAATCGACCCAGATGTCGGACATCCGGACATCCCGTCTCCCTCCGCGCTCCTGTCTGCTGGGATTACGCTTCATTTCAAAATAAAATGAGGATCATGGATTGTGACTTTAAGCAGTGTGAAATGGGGGGGTCGCCGTGCCATGTGGGACTCGCCGCTCCCACGGAACCTTCTCTGGTATGCGGACACAGCACCGCCCCCCCAGCTCCAGTTCTGTTGCACGGATCGGGTTCATTCTTCCCAGATTAACGTGTGGGGGGGGGATTTATCAACCAGCGCAGTTGTTTTTTGAGCAGCTTTAATTTGGTAAATTGTCTTCTGAGTACCTTTTATTTTGAAAGGTCGGTACTGAGCTCACGTGTGAGTACTAAGAACTTATGAAGAACCTCAACAAAGAATAAAAAGGTGTGATTGTGGTAAAAAAAAGTATGACTTTTAGGTAGTTCTTGTGATATTGTGTCACCTATTTTTACCACAAACACATTTAACACACTTATTATTATTATTATTTCCTGTTATTAGTCATTAATAGCCCCCCGTCCCCCGGCAGCAGCTGCAGGTGTGTTTACTGTGTCTTTGTGATGTCGAGAGAGGACATTAAAATGTGCGTAAAAGTGAAAGTAGAATTTGCAGCGCACCAACCACAACCCACCACACTGTAAACAAACAAACACACACACACACACACACACACACACACACACACACACACACTTGTTCCGACTTGTTTACAGAGCGGATCGCGACCAAAAGCCAGCGCTTCTCAGCGCTTATTGGCCCCCCGCTGGGTTTCTAGGTGCAGCAATTCTCCCATTGTTTCCCCCGTAGACTGTGTGTGTGTCTGTGTGTGTGTGTGTGTGTGTGTGTGTCTGTGTGTGTGTGTGTGTGTGTGTCTGTGTGTGTGTGTGTGTGTGTGTCTGTGTGTGTGTGTGTGTGGAGACCTTTGGACCGAGAATATGATGAACCGACACACAATCGCAGGAGTAGAGAGCGTGAGCTGGGAACCACAAGGTCGACGGTTCGAACCCCGGCTGCTCCGCGTCAAAGTGTCCCTGAGCAAAGACGCCTGACCCCTAATTGCCCCCCTGGGCAAAATGTAAAAGGAAGCCACGTGTTAAATGTAATGTAAGTCGCTTTGGATAAAAGCGACAGCTAAAGGACCTGTAATGTGATGATTATAGGATGAGATGTGCACTGATGCACATACAGATAAATACACGTATACATCGCCGTGGTGATGAACTAAAAAAAAACATGATTATATTATTATAAGATTATCTATCAACTATAAACCCAAATTATTGCGTCCAAATCCTTTGATTCCGGCGTCTTCGATGTGAATATTTTCTTCTTTCTTTCCTCCTGTGTGACAGCAAAGTGATTATAAACAAAACGAGACATTTATGTTTCACCTTTTAATAAACAAACAAACATATTGAGAAGATAAATAAACTTTCAACGCCGAACGCATAACGTGAGAAAACAGCGTTGCATATTAAACAACATAGTTGGATATAGAGACGAACATGAGGGCGCAAATAGCATGTAGCATTCAGCGCATAGATCATGTAATCTAGCACATTTAGCATTTAGCACATAGCAAACACAGCCGATCAGGAGAAAGACGTTGTGCGATTTGTGATTGTTGAGTAAACTTTGTGTTCCGCGATCTCACATCTTCCTCTCAGCCGAGCAAGATGTAAATTCCTATCCCTGGGATTACTCCGCCGGGTTCCATCTGCCGCGCTATCTCCTCCAGCCCGCCGCGCGTGTGTGTGTCTGACAAGTGTCTCGTCTGCACCGCCGGCTGGCTCGGCTGCCTTGTGCCAAACGCCGTTTTTTTTTTTTTATCTTCCACGCGGCGTGCCAAGGCGGCGCCTCACGGCCGAGACTCTCTTTCTCATGCCGAGGTCGCCTGAGGTCAACCCGGGGGCGGAGGAAGCATTGTTCTCTGCCCGCTGATCCCGGGTCAGTTTGAGCCGCTTCCTCCAGGTACCGAACAGTGGGTCGCCATTGTTAACGCTGCGTGTGTGTGTGTGTGTGTGTGTGTGTTGCTCGGGGTTTCATCATACCCCCCCCCCACCCCCCCTCCTTCTTAAAGGAGCTCGATGCGATTGCCGTTTTCATAAACCGTGGCCTCCCGTTTCTCTCTGTGGTGAGTCTGGAGTCGATGGTGGGGCGGCCTCGCGGGTGGATGTTGGTCTGTAATGGGTGGAGCCGATGGAGCGGCTCTTTAGGGGGCCGGGCTCCTTCTGTGTTTTTGTCGGGGACCACCTCAACGGTTTTCCCCCTCATGCAAAGAAAGCACCTCAGTCATTCCTCATTTGTTCCGGATACATTTGTTAATTTCCTCCTGTTACGCGCAGACAGTTTTGCAGACCTTTTCAAAATAAACTTCCGTCCCACACGAGAGCATTTAGTTGGGAAAAGTTCCCGGTTTTGGGATTCCTGGTTCCACATTGGGGACGAACGGCCTCCTCTTCCAGTTTGAGTGGTTCTGGACTTCCTGGTCCAGGATGAGTTACAGCGGATTGGTTTGGGGGGGGGACAGTTGTCCAACAGGAAGTTGCGTTGCAAACTAAACGTCCCAGCGTCTCTATAATATTGTATTAAATATGTAATTCAACACGTGGAAGAGTGACAATAAGAACTTATATGAAACGGAACCACGATATAAATGTTACTGACTTTTTGTTTATTGTTTTACTCACAACACGCCGGCGCTGCTAAATTCACCTCAACGCTAACCTGGCTAGCTTAGCACACCGATGCTAACGTTTAGCCTCCTCCTGCCGTGTTTTTTTACTTTGGGTTTGACTAAAGCGGTGAGAGAACTTGTGCCTGTGAGGATGAGCGCGTAGTTATGAACAAATGAGGTCCTTGGATGCTCGCAGTGTTTAAATGATGCTGGTAATCATCTACAAATGTGACATGAATACTTTGCTGCTCCGCAACCTTCTGCGCTTTCTGTTTTAAATGCTAGAAGAAGCCAGAAAATAATGGCTGAGCTCCATTATGTTTTTTTTAATGCGACATTTTACAGATTCCTTTTTTTCTGTTGGGATGTTTAATGAAGTGTGTGAGCGAACAGGCCGAACAGGCTGAACAGGGCCGTCAGTCTGGGCAGGACCGAGCGCCACGCGGACTTATTCAGGACACAATAATGTCAGCGTGGAAAAATAACCGGGAAAATGTATATATTTTTTCTATTATTCTTAATATTTTTGAGTTGCCCCCTGTTATAATGGGAACCACTGCACGTGTCGGATATCATAACGAGGCTTCTGTGTTCCACTGTTTCTGGCCCACGTGAGGTTTAATATTACATTGATATTTGGTTACTGTATTGATCCCGCGTACGTTTCTATTAGAGCAAATATCTAAAGACAAATCCAATCATTTAATCCATAATCCTTTGGATAGATGCTGACAGGACGACGTCACAGTTTTGACATCTGGTTCTTTTATTGGTACATTTTCTATTGTGGAAGACAGCTTCCCAGCATGCCTGGAAGCCGTGTCTGACTCCTTCCTCCTTCACCTCCTCCCTCCCTCCTCTACTTGCCCCCCCTCCTCCCCCCCAGGCTGGGAGGCTGGAAGCTGCGCCATGTGAAAGGAGCTCCGCCCCTTTGGACCCTCTCAACTCTTGACCTCTGGTAAAACACCGTAATGTCGTCCATCTCCTCCTCCTCTCTGGACTCTCTTTGACTTCCATCTAAACGCCGTTGTTTTGTGTTTCTTTCACGCAGCAGAAGTCGACGCCGTGACCAAACCTGGACCCTTCCCGGTTGGGACATGCTTCAGGTAGAGTAGACCCCCCCCCCCCCAACCCCCCAATGGTTGTTATTGTTCTTTTTTCTCTCTTCCCTCACCCTGCCTCTCCTCCCTCCCAGCCGGGTATGAATGGGATGGAGCCTGTGTTTGGCGAGGCCTACGGGGGTCACCGCGGCCTGCTGAGCCCCTACCCGCTGGCCATGTCGCCACAAGGGGGCAGGACCGAGTACGACCAGGTGAGGGCCGCCGGGTGACCCGCGGCGAAGCGAGCGCAGCCGTTATTCTACGTATTGCGACGGAGGTCACGCGTGATGGCGCTCGCGCTCAAAGCACGTCTCTGTTCCCTTTCCAGACCGTGCTCCTCATGCTGGGCTCCCGGGCGTCGCCTCGGAAACGGCCCTTTGAGTTGTTAAGCGACCTGGTGGACGACGGGGGCGCGGGCGAGGACCTGCACCCGGAGCGCTGGGACGTGTCCTCGCTGGACGAGATGGCGCGCTACACCAAGCTGGGCCTCGGCGTGGGGGGGGGGCTGCTGGCCTGCTCGGAGGAGGCCGTCCTCATGGGCCGCTGGGGGAGGAGCCGGGAGGAGCAGGAGGAAGAGGAGAGGAGGAGCAGCAGCAGACGCGCCCCCTTCCCCCGTCCCCCAGGAAGTGATGCGGGCCGACGCGGCGGCGAGGGGGACGGGCGTGGCTCTGCTGGCGCGACCACGGAGAGGGCGCTCTGCTCTGCGGGAAGAGCGGACGGAGCGGGACAAGGCGGGGGGGCGCCGAGGGAGCTGGAAGTTTATCAAGTGGCACAGGAGGAGGAGGAGGAGGAGGAGGAGGAGGCCGCCGGTCTGGCGTTGGAGCACTGCAGCGAGGAGCACAACTACTCCCTGGGCCAGGGGGAGGGGGCGGGGCCAGCATACAACTCGCGGAAGGAGGGCGGGCGGGTCAGGGAGGCGCTGCAGGAGGCGGCGTGCCGGGAGGAGAGCCAGAACGAGGCCGAGCTGGATGCCGAGGAGCTGGATGAGGAGGAGGACGAGGAGGAAGAGGACGACGATGAGGACGAGGAGGGAGACGAGGGAGAGGAGGAGACGGCGGCGGAGGCCGAACTCTCCAGCTCCTCTGAAACGGAGTGTGGTGAGTTTCACGCGGAGGCCTCAGACCGCATCGCGTCCACGGCGAAGCTCGTTCGGCACGCCGTCCTCGCGTTGACCTTTGACCCTACCAGAGACGGGAGAGACCGTTTGTCGGATCTGTTGTCCTAAAAATAGTTGCGATAAACAATATTGTTGTCATTTTCTCCTCATTGATCTGAATGGTGCAGCGAGTCGACTCGTTTTTAATTATGACGCAGCGATCATTATAATATAATATATATAAATATAAATAATATAATCCAGATAATTCCTTAAGATACTGATCGACCTTCAGACTACAGAAACACAAGCGTGTAGATTCAATAACGCCAACGTGAAGTGACGTCCTCACATCGCCCCCGGCGACAACAAATCTCAGACTTCATGATACGAGGTCACGGGGAGGTCGCCGTGATGCCCCTGTCGTGTGTGTGTGTGTGTGTAGCGGATAGCCCTGGCTAACTGTTAGCATAAAACGTCATTAACAGTCGGTCTGACGTGATCTCGCTGCGTGTGACTGTGGGTTCTGAAGCGGCGTTGTTGTCGTTCGCGGGGTCACGCGGTGCAGTGGGCGTGTGTTTGACAGGATGTCATGTGACCTGACAGGATAGTCCTCCGGTATCGATGAAGTACCCGGTCAGTGTTCTCTTTATGTGTCGACGCTACGTCCTGTGTATGGATTACTCCTAAACAAGGCATTCCTTCTGCGTGAAGATTGACGACACCTTCCTACGTCTCTCTTTCCCCTGCAGAGGCGGAGGCGGAGCCTGCGCGGCAGCCGGGCGAGCGGCCCTCGAAGCGCCGATGCTTCTGGGAGTACCGGCGCGCCCGCCAGTCGGCCACCAAAAAGAAACATGGCGGAGACGTCCACTGGTCCCTGTCCTGGAGCTCCAGCACTCTGCCCAGCACGCTGTACCGGCGGGAAGGTGAGGACCATCCACATAAACGAGTGTAACCACGAAGTGAGCGAGGGGGAGACTGCAAAGCGTGTCCCGTGGACGTGTCCCGTTTCCGTCTCTCATGTGATCTGGACCCCGAGGCGTGCGCCCTACATACGACTCTTCAAGTGGATCCTGGCTCATCTTATATAAAGACGATGATTCACTAACAGAACATCACGCTGTGTTGAAGACGACTAGAGACCGAGACCATGAACTCGTGTTTACAATAAATACATGTTTTATTCACCCAGGCAAAAAAGGGCGGCGCAAAGCCCGTAAGACGGACGCCAGCGACCTGACGCCGAACCCCGTGAAGCTCCGCAGCATCGGCGAGCAGCTGCAGAAGCTCAACGCCGCCATCGACGGCATGGGCCCCGTCAACGACCTGCCCGCCCCGGCCCGGGCCCGGTCCCGCAAGGAGAAGAACAAGCTGGCCTCCAGGTACCAGAGGGTCCACCCAGCTGCCCCCCCCACCAGAGTCACAGCTCGGGGGGAGGGGTTAGCGACTGTACAGCGCTTGAGGAGACGGTTGAGGGGTTTCACATCCAATCTTTCTGACTTCTGATTTAAACTCACCGTACTGAGGATGACTTTTTAAACCTCAGCCTCACTGCAAACACGCGGGGTGGGGGGGGGGGGGGGTTGCACAGTGACGGGACCTGGAGGCTGACGCTGCTCCTCTTCTCTTGTGCAGGGCCTGCCGGCTGAAGAAGAAGGCCCAACACGAAGCCAACAAGATCAAGCTGTGGGGGCTCAACCAGGAATACGGTGAGTTCAGAGGTCACATGATGAGAAGCAGAGGTCAAATGATGAGAAGCAGAGAGGTCACATGATGAGAAGCAGAGAGGTCACATGATGAGAAGCAGAGGTCACATGATGAGAAGCAGAGGTGAAATGATGAGAAGCAGAGGTCACATGATGAGAAGCAGAGGTCACATGATGAGAAGCAGAGGTCACATGATGAGAAGCAGAGGAGTCACATGATGAGAAGCAGAGAGGTCACATGATGAGAAGCAGAGAGGTCACAAAGCAGGATGTGGAACCGTCGTCTGAAAGCCACTCAGGGAAATCGAGCAGAAAGCCGATTCTCAAGATTCTCGAGGCTCCGTCACCCCTCCTCTTCCTCCTCCTCTTCCTCCTCCTCCTCCTCCTCAACAACCACCATCTGACCTTCTTTGTCTGTTCGGTTTTTCTTCTTCTTCCCGTCACATTTTTAACATTCCAGTCATCCCTGATTCCAGACCAGCGGTTCGTTCTTCAGAAAGAAATCTGTCAGGCAGGAAGCCACAGCACACAAGCCCCCCCTCGTTCCCCCTCGTCCCCCCCTCCTCTCCCCCTCGTCTCCCTCCTCTTTGCTTTCCTTTCACTTTCCTTTTTGCTCTTTAAACAAACACCAACCAGCAGGTTTCTGGGAAATGGTTCTTAATAATAAACAAGCTGAAAGCTTTGACCTCAAGATGAGAGCGTCAGTCTGCAATGAAGCTGTACTTCTTTTTGTCCACATAAAACACTGTTCATGCTTAATGTGTTAATATGGATTTTCATTTACCACTTAAATCCACATTTTAAGTTGTAACTTGGGGAACAGTAAAATAGATAAAACAATAACATTAACTGACCCCCAGAGAACCTGCTGGGAGCCCTGCTGAGGATCAAGGAGGTGATCCGTCTGCGGGTGGAGAGCAGCGAGGAGGAGGAGGAGGAGGAGGAGGACGAGCGGGGGATGACCCGCCGCCTGGAGGACATCCTGCTGGAGTCCAGCGGTGAGACTCTTCCAAGGATCAAACGTATTAAATATAAAGACGATGTCATCGATGAACGTGGAGAACAAACAGCAACGTGATCACATGACATCCGGACGTTTTGACACAAACTCACCCTTCTGCTTCACCTTCACTGTCCCAATTTGTTTCCATGACAACCCGCAGGTCCTCTCGTCGCCGGGCGGACCAAGGACTTCGTGCAGAGGGATTTTAGCGGCCAGCGCGGGCGGGCCAGCGGAAAGGGGGGGGAGGAGGAAGTGGGGCTGAACCCCGCCCCCAT